TTTCCCTTTCAGCATGCAGAAAACCTGTGTTTGCATGCAAATTGGGTAATTTGGCTCAGAGTTTCCAAAATTGAACCCATACATTTATCTGTTTCTAGTTTTGGAACCCAACTGCATATTGGATCCTGTATGCAAGTATAGTTCATGGTATACTCTTCTTTCTTTGCTGTGACAATCTAGTGGCTATCCTGGGCATGACTGTTGATCTTATTTTTTCCTCTTCTTCCCCCCTTCAATGGAAAAATGCCACTGCAGAAACTAGAAGAAAGATTCAGATTCAACAGACGAGATCTCATTGGATTTGAATTTACAGTGCTTGTAGCTTTGGAGCTGGTCCTCTACCTTCCTGAAAACCAAGTTTTACCTCATTATAGACGTCTCACACAGCAATTCTAACCAAAGCTACATTCCAGCTGATCACCGATGGCTCTGGGGATGAACAGCATTACTGAACGCTTTGCTTCTGAATTTGAAACTTGCCACTGTTCTTCTCTATGCCACAATGTGCATCTGATCATGTCTACAGCTAGTTTGAAGACTGCAACATGATTTTTGAACAGTCAAGATGTACATTAGCGATACAGATGCCAAGTCTGTATCAGTAGGTGGTACAGAAAGGGTTATCTTGAACTTTATTTTCCTTTGGATATTAAAGCACAAATGATTCACAAACCAGCTGCCTTGTGGCTACTGGTTATTCTGTATTTTCCTTTTCAGTTTTACTAGGAAATGGTTGGTTCTTCCCTACAAAGGATGCTATGTTGTTGTTCTTTTAGATTGTTTTGACATTTATTTTTATTACAGGAAGCATCACTTCATTCCAAAAAATCATAAACTTCAAATAGTGTAGTTGAGAATGTTCTTTGCATTTTTACGTTAAAAATGCAGATGTTATTTTTTAAAGATGTGCCTAAAACTGACTGGTCTGGTACCAGTTCTTCTAAGTTACTTATGTTGCATAATGGTGAATCCTGAATTTAAATAGTAATGTATCCTTTACCTGCATTTGCCTTGCATATAGTGAAAATAATTCCAGTATATCTGCACTAATATTACAGAGGGGATTTGTACTATAGATCTATAGGTAGCAAGCCTGAAACTATTCTAAGTTCAACTACTTTTAACTATATTACACAAAGGTTTGATTTTTTTATTTATTTTTTTAAAATAAGGAAAGGAAAATTGTGTTTGGAAATCTGTCATGAAATATCACACTTGTTGAACAAGATAGCTGCAGCAAAGCAGCATAAAGTTCATTCTTGGAGTTTTGTTTTTGAGTGGAGATAAGAAATTGACTTACATGTGAGAGGAAATCACCATATTGTCATTTATAATTTTGATTTGTGCCACTGTTTACTATAGTCTGAAACGAGCACCTTTTTAAACATGACCTCTCTCTCGTTCTCTGTTCTGTTCACAAGTGTTTCAGCAAGTACTGCTGTCGTTTCCAAACTAAGTCAATGAAACAAAGTATGTTCGTTTCTCAAATTGCTACTTTTTTTTACTCAGTTCTTCCAAGCATTGTGCCACTGTGATGGGACTCATGGAACTGGCATTTGTTGCACGTTTAATCGGCCATTCGGTTATAAGTTAATGTTCAGCAGCAGTCTGATGTTTATGCAAGGGTTAAATAACTTCTTCCACTGTTAGCCAGATACTTGGTTTAAACAGTTCTGAAACATGTTCTACCTTTAGCGATACAGTTAGTCACTCTGGGCAGTGGGGGTTCTAAGCAATATTATACAAATAAGTGTGTGTGCATGTTTGTGTGTTTGAAAGGGACAAAAATAATACTTGGACATTGAAAATGTTTGTAATTTGTTGAAGACTAATATGCTAGACCTCTTCCTGAAGTAAGAAGGCTATCTAGTCTCTGATACATGGAGTACTGTAAATTTCAATTCCTTGTGTGAGTTGTGGCCACTAAATAGGAACAGACATAAAACAAGTCTTGCTATTCAACCACCTAAGGCCAGTTTGACTTCAATGAAATAGGCTCCACTGACTTTGCTACTTTCTCTTTAAGCAGCACTTGAAAGGTATTTTTTGCTGTAATACCACTAAAGTCCTAAACCTAGCAGCTCTTTAACAACTTTAGTGCAAGTAAATAGGCATCTTCTGGTCAATGTGCAGGACACAAATTTTAGAAAGTTGCTTCTCCCTAAAGTGTAAGATGCATGGTTATTTCTTACTATGGTAGAATTTTACACACCCTTTAAATTTGAACGCCGCTAACATCCAATTTGCCAACTGACCTTATTTTCCAAGAGAGATTAGAAAATTGTGTATATTGAAGTTCTATATTGAATAATTAATGCCAGTTTTGTAAGTTCTATTTTACTAAAGTATTAGACTAACATTTGTGGGTTGCCAATTGAATTACAAAAAAAAATGCTAATTGCAGTGCACTCAATTTATAATGGCCTACAAATCTACTACAGATTTCTCCAAATCAGTCAATACCTTTTCTTTATCTAAGCATGGAAACTTTACATGTAATTTAAGTGTTTAGGAAAGTGTTGATGGTAAAAATTCTCACAATGTATTTGTTCAAAAAATATAATGTCATGTTACTATAAATGTTACTAAAAATGTCTGATGCTCCAAGACCATTTGGGCTCAAGCTGTTAATTATAGGAGTTAAATTGCTTTAAACTAATATGTAACAAAAAAAATGCTCTGGCTGATATGTAAACCTGAAGGTCTAATCCTGCAATCTTTTCTCAGACATTGTTGACCAGAAGCAGTGTCTGAGAGGATGGAAATCTTTGCTTCAGTGTGTAAATGGGCAGGTTGGTTGATTCTTTAAGCAAAATGCAGAATTACACCTTCCTTAAAGTATATAATCTTCATAGCAGCTTTTTTTAATTAAAGGCGGTACCTGAATAGATCCTCATTTTAAACCTCTGTATGTGCACTTCCAAACTTCTGAGCTCCAAAGCCCTAGATATTATGGGTGCAAACTGTATCGTGGAAATGGTTTACTATGTGCAGTGTTCACTGTGTGTAAATTTCCATTAGAAATAGAAGGAAAATCTTCTGTAACAATAGAAATCTTGTTTCAAGTCTGAAGATGGGTTACTGATCCCAAATTATCATTTTATCCAACAGTGTACATCTTATATGTTGGGTACCTTTTTCTGTAACTTACCTGTACTGAAATAGTGATCCTGTTGGCAAAGGCAGTAACCTACCTGTGTGTGGTGTTTTATAGGAGTTAGGACTCTATGCCAGTTTAGGGAAAAGAATGCTATTTCAGTTAAGCATCATTGTGATTATTTATCTTCCTATAGAAAAGCTGCCACTGTGTGGTAGAAAATTATTACTGCAACATTATCAAGGTTCAGCCACAATGGGACCCAACATGATATTCTGAGAGGTTACACTTGTTCATGCAAAAATGTTCTTTTCCTTTAAAGAAAAATGCTGGTTTCTTACATGTGGGGGTGTGGTTGAATTATGTATCACATGTAAATATGGTGCTGCTTAGACTCAGCACAACGAAAAGGCTCTTGATAAGAGCTTGTACATTTTTATGTAAATTGTTATGGTTTTGTGTCTTAGTAAATTAAAGTCTCGTTTGTAATTTGTCTATTCTTTTTGATCAATGAAATTGTGGGATTGAGAAGCGGTGAAATAAAAGTTTTGATACATATTTTGTAACCAATCAAGTTTGATGTATTTTGACTTGTGTCTAGAAAATATTCTTTTAAAAATACTGTAGCACAGGGGTGGGCAAGAGAGCCTCGGTAGGCCGGATCCAGCCTGCCAAACCTATTGATCTAGCCCCAGGTCAATTGAGACCTGGGGAGGTGCAAAGTCTCCTCCCCCCACCAGAAGTGTGGGGGGGAGTGGGGGAGTACCCTAGTGTGAACTGACAGCTGTTTTGAACAGCTGATGGTTTGCTTTAGGCACTGTGTGCCCTTTGCAGGGCAAGAGACTTCACACACCCCAGGCCCTGATTGACCTTCGGATGGGGGGAATGCGTGAAGTCTCCTCCTTCCCTGCAAGGGGCACGCATGCCTAGAGAGAACTTCCAGCTGCTCAGAACAGCTGGCAGTTCTTCGTAAGTGGTAGAGGGCAAAGACAACTTAACATGGTCCCCACCCCCAGGCCAATCAGTCTGGGGACAGCGAAGCATGGGAAGTGTCCTGGCCCTGCTGCGTCTGCCAAAGGCCGTACCCCTTCTGGTGCAGCCCAGGGCCACTTCTAAAATGATTACCCACCCCTGCTCTAGCATAAGAATGTTTCCTCTTCCTAAGTAACTGGCAGAAAGAGGGTTACGATAATCACTGCAGTTGTTTTTCAACCTTTCCAGACTGCTGTATCCCTTTGTCTTGCATACCAAGTTTCACTTCACTTAAAACTACTTGCTTACAAATCAAACATAAAAATCAGTGTCAGCAATTACTGAAATTGCTGACTTGCACATTCTGTATGAAATAACAGTTTGTACTGACTTGCTAGTGCCTTCATGTAGCCTGTTGTAAAACTAGGCAAATAGCTAGATGAGTTGATGTGCCCCCAGAAGACCTTTGTGTACCCCCAAGAGTATGTATACACTGGTTGGGAACCACTATTATACTACATCTAAACAGAATAGAAACATGTGTTTTTGTTTTGCTTTGCTTTGTTTTTTTTTTTTAAACTTGCAAAATAGGAAGTCTGCTGTGAAAAATGATATTAAGAAACACAGATCCCACTTTTCATAGTAGACTTAATATGCCCCTGCGCTTGCAATGGCCTGAGTTAAGTTCTGTATGGAGGCAGTGGGGCCAGTGCCAAAGGGTGGGGGAAGGAACTGTGATGAGCTTGTGGCCGGAGCCCACCACCATGCAGTCAGGGAATGGGGCCCAACCCCCTGCCCCTGAAAAGATGTCCTGCTCCTTGAGTTTGTCTTGCCACAAGAGGGCAGGGCTTTACTACTGGCAGCACCAGGGAAGGAGCTGCTGCTTTGACAAATCCCCACTTACCCTCCCATGGGTGCCAAGGAGGCTGTGGCTACAAGAAAAATGCATGGGTGGGGGGCCACATACAGCCATAGGGGCTGCACTTCAGAAATGCTTACCTAGTCTGATCTCACTGCAGGCCCCCAAAACCTTGCTTACCTACTTATGTAATAGACCCACCCTCTTCAATAACAGCTGAAGTCCTCAAACTATTTGAAGGCTAATTACAGAGATCCACTATTTATATTAGCCCTGCAAGTGACCCAGATTTCGAGACTGCTTGATACCATCCCCCTCCATAAATGTATGACGACACTGGCACAGATCAGCAACATGCCTTTGTAAACAATCTCACTCTGGAAAATATTCCTTTGTAAATATTTGTTTCAGAGGGGTAACCCTGTTAGTCTCATTTTTAAAGTTACAGACTAACAAAGATGTATAGAGTATCATGAGCTTTCAGCAAAACCTGCTTCTTCAGATGAGATGACCTTGAGGAAAGCTCATAAAGTCTCTTTTTTTGGGGAGGGTGTCTCTAAGGTGCCACAGAATTACTCTGCCTAAAAACTGTGAACAATAGATCATGAGCATGCAGTAACGAGACACCTGGGAAATAAATCTCTAGTAACCCAGAGAGGTATTTAAGAATCTTGGCACTGGTCAGCGGAGATATTTGCTACAACAAGTTGAAATTCTCTGGTCTGGCAACATCCATGATCCAGTGTGATTTTTATTTAGCCTGGTGTTCACGTAGGAGTGTGGCCAAGTTTCCTGCAGGCCCATAAAGTTGGTTTACAGCCACCAGTTCTAGCTCTCCCTGTTCTGTCATTTAGCTCTAATTTACCCCTAAATGTCTTGGAGGCCAGTAGCAGGGGAAGTGATGGTGATGGTTTGGCAAATTCCCTGTGGGGGCTGTGGAGACCCCTGCGGGCGGGGCGGGAGCCTGGCTGGGCCCCCCTTCCGCACCCATCAGCTCCTGAGGATGCCAGAGGAAAGATTCAACCAATAGCAGCACAGAGGCTGGGCCCTGGACTGACAATACTCCAGTCAGCTGAAGAAGCGGGTTGCACCACAGAAGCTCATGATACCGGGGACAGCAGGGGGCTCCCAAACTGGGGGGTGTGAAGCGACCCAGGCCCCCCCATCAATCCCCTCCCCAAGTTTTGCTGCTGTTTCTCAGCCCCGGCCAGTTCCTTTTTTGCTCAAGTTTTGGTGCTATGGGGGGGGAGGGGTGTGACGCCGAAAAGTTGGGGAGCCGCTGCTCTGCCGGGCTGGTTAGTCCCTGAGGGGCTACTGGACTATTCGCTGTTTTTAAGGGGGGGGGGGGGGTTGGTGCCTTTTCTAGACCGCCTCGCGCCACCGGCCCCTCCTGACCCGGCTCAAGCTCCGGCTTGAAGCCAAGGACACGACCGGGTCCCCGCGCGGGAAAGTGCTTGCCCGGGGCAGCGCCGCCTTCCCGCCTCCCGGCCCGTGGAGCAGCAGGCGCCGAGCGCGGGTAACAGCCCTCAGCGCCCGCCCCTCCCCCCCGCAGCAGCGCGGGTCGGGCTCGAGCTTCCCGCGCCCACCCAGCCCCCGGCCGCTATCCAGTGACGTCAAAGAGGCTGCCCCGGAAGCGCTCGAGTCTGCGCCCCCCTTTCCTGGTGTTAATGCTTCCGGGCGATAGGTCCCGCCCTTTCCGGTCTGGGCTGGCGGCGAGGTAGGAGGCTTGGGCGGCCGGGCTGGCGGGCCTGAGGGGGCTGTGGAGACCCCGGCTGGCGGGGTGGGGGCTGGGCGGTAACGCCAGGTTCCTGCCCGGCTGCCGACCCGACTCTGGAAACAGGGGGAGCCTGGCTGGGGCCCCCTTCCGCAGCCCGGCCCGCGGGGGCTTCTGCCGCCGGGTTCCGCGTCCCGGCCTTGAGCGGGGGAAGCCCGGCTCGTCTCCCCTGTGCCACGCGGGGCGGGGGTCTTCTCCTGGTCCCAGGCACGTGGGGGGGGGAGGGGCGGCCTGGCTTCAGTGCCCGCAGTGGGGCCGGGTGTGGGCCCGTTGGCCCCAGTCTGAGTCTGGGGCGTAACCGCTCCAGCCCCAGTTACGTCAGAGGGTCAGTTCCGCTGCGGGGGGGTTGGGCCAGCCCAGGGCGAAGCTTTTGTGGAGACCTGCCCGTTAGATGAGGCACATAAGCCGGCGGGTCTCTAGCATACGCGGCAAAGCTTCCCCCTTTGAAAAGGCCGGAAGAGTCACAGAAACACTCAGATGCCCCTAAATCCATCGTCCCAACCCCTAGTCACGTCCTTGAAGTCTTGACTGCAAGCAGAGTTGTAGAAATCCTAGCGAATCTATTACATAGGTGCTGGATCTAGGGATGTGGGGGTGCGGTAGCGTTTCCTGATTGTAAATGGTTTACATTGTACCCAGAGTGGGATGTTAGCAACTATTGCTGCTTATCAGATGGTCGAGTGGCCACACAGCTAGTCATTCGCACCCACACCTGCTGCCTCAATCAGAAAGACGCAGCAAGGGAGGAAGAAGCCGGTGTTTGGGGGGAAATTTCAAACATTTCAAAAGCAGAAGTGCCTCAGGGAGCATGGAGTGGAGTGCTCGCCTTGTGCTTCTGCAGTGAGGGGATACAGGAGGCGGTGCTGGGGGAGGGGGAAGAACTTAAAAGGTGGTTCTGCCTGCGCCCCCGCTGCCTCCATTAGAGGCAGCATAGGGCATGCTGGTGGGAAGCAGTCCCTTATCCACAGGGATCTCAGCGGGGAGCTGGGTCACCCATGGACAAGGGCTGTTGCCACCAAACAGCCCCTGTTCACGGTGGCCAGGATTGTTGGACTCAGCGCGAGCTGGGACCAAGCAGCCCCGACTCACGCTGATCGATGCGGCTTTTACTACATTTAAAATGTAGCGCAGCAGCGTGAGTGGCTATAGAGCTACCTCCACTGTGGCTCTGCACAGCAATGCTTATCGTATAATCGATACATAGCGTATCGACTATACGATTAGTCAGATAATGGCATTTTAACGTCCTTAATCCAGGGTATAGAGTTTGGTTCAGTGGCTCTCAGCATCCCCACTGTGCAGATTGTTCTAGCATCCCTGCTCCGTTAAGTTCACAAGGGACTTTGTTGTTGCTACTGCTTTTATGCAGAAGGCACACAGATACTGCAAAATAAAAAGATGGATGGACTGAGATGTGCGCAAACCATGCATCTGAGTACTTGGTAGGGGATGACCTTGTGATATATGTCCCCTTAGGTGTCTCTTCTTGAACATCCCTGCGTGGTGCCATATAGAAAAATAAAATGCAGAACGACGCTGGGGAATTTGTGGACCTTTACGTGCCTCGTAAATGGTGAGTGTCTTTCCTTGGCATGCTTGGTGCTGTTGTGTAGGAGAATGCTTTTCCAAGCTTACTCAGATGGTCAGTCTTGTACAGCTTCCTGCATCCAACAGTGTCAGTATCCTCATAATAAGCCTCACTGGTATGTGATTCTGTATGAAATGAAACTGCTCCTGTGTTAGGGTCAGTTTATGCCTTGAAAGTTGATCACCAAAACACCAGTTCACTATGTGCTGTGAAGAGGGTAATGTAATTGATTTACTACTTCCTGTTAGGCTACATCTACACTACAGCCTAGTTCTGTGGTATTTGAAGCCATAGCTACTGTAGTACTACTGCTATAGCGAATTAGCCATGCTCAACCAGCCAAATAGCCACGTGTGGCTAGTGTGTTGGACACCACGGGCCCAGCTCAACACTCAGATCAATCCACCGGCAGTCAATTTAGCGAATGTAGTTGAAACTAGGAATGTTAGATATTGAGTAATTGAATAATTGTGTAACAGCATCAAATCTTAGCGGGGTTGGCAGCCAGTGCACTTCCAGGAAGCCTCCTGGTACCCTACACAACTGCCTCTGATACGATAATCATTAGCTTATTGGGTAACCTTTCTGGTTATAATCCCAATGGCCACCAGCAGCCCGCAGTGCCAGTGGCCCATGGCGCTTTTAACCATGTAACCAATTGAATTTCAATCATTTACATGGGGGAGTTATTAATCTTTACATCCCTAGTCAGATTGGTGTTGAGTGTCTTTATGTTCTGTCCTCCTTCAAGAGGGAACAAAAACTTATAACATTAACTGCTCTTTTTGTGAGTGTGTTTATTTCCTGCAGTTGCAGTTTCGTGAGCTCCTTCTGGGTTCTCAGGAGTTTTTACCATTGACTCACGATTACTCACTGCATCTGGATTGACAATGTTTAGTCTAAAAGTCACATTCTTAGGATTGAGGTAGGCAAAGAATTAAATAGAAGTACTGGGAGTTTAAACTTTGAAAATCCCTTAAATAAATTGTATGAAGAGCGGGCAATGATAATTTAGTGCAAGGATGCTATTGGAAGGGCCAGTTGATTCTACTCCATCGCCACCACTGCTCTGTTACTAAATAAGTAGAATTCCTCTCAGACATAGTAGCCAGCTACACATCAATTTCTTATAGTTGCTTTCCAGAGCAGGTAGACGTGCATAGTTCCAATGTGAGAGTCTCATTGTCGTTTACATGCAGTGAGCATAGCGCTAAATGCATTCTGAAAATAATGAACTAGGTTAACATGAAGATTATTTACCACCATAGCTAAGTGTAATACAAGTTGAGCTTCTCTAGTCTGGCATTCTTGGGACTTGACCAGTGTCAAACCACGGGGGGTCAGTATTGTCTAACAGCATTACCAATATTTCCACTCCTTACTTGGCTCTTAGAAGACATTTAGAGGTAAATTAGAGCTAAATAAAGGCACAGAACACTTGAGAGCCAGGACCCGTGGCTGTAAACAAACTCTATGGGACTACAGGAAACATGGCCACACCCAGGATAAGTGAACATCTGGAGAAGTAAAATCGTGCCTGACCACAGATGTTGCTGAACCCGAGAGTGACAGATTACATAGGGTCAACCTGTACTGCCAGTTAAGAGGCAGGTTTAAATCCAGTGCCAGGCCTACATTTTAACTGTGTGGTCATTGAGCTGCCTGATGCCTTGCCTTTCACCCTCAAACTGCTAGCTCAGCTGCATCTGTTCTGTGAGTTGGGCTTTAATAGTTTTTGTTCAGTTAGTAGAATACCCTCCTTATAGGCTTCTTATTTTAAATTCACATTGTTATCTCTTTCCTCAGCTCTGCTAGCAACCGAATAATTGGTGCTAAGGACCATGCTTCCATTCAAATGAATATTTCTGAGGTAAGTCTAAGTCATGACAAATGTATATGTAATTAGAGAGCTTTCACTTTTTGTGAAATTTAGCATCTTCACATCTCCAAATAAGTGTAATAGCTCCTCATCAGCATTGGTTCTAATTTATCTTGGCCACTTGCCTTGGAAAATCTGCTTATGTTGTACTATCTACGGGGTTTGTCTTTTTTTAATTTTCATGGAGGGTTTGTGCTTTAGTGGTATGTATGGGACTGATAATTGGAAACCTGGGGTTTTGTCTCTGCCATTTGCTTACTGTGTGCATTTGGGGAACTACTTCATCTTCATGTTAAAAAAAATTCTCTTGTTTCCTTACATAATGGAATCATGGAGTCTGATGGATTTAGGCTCAAACAATATAGTAGGAATATAGTAACTAATAAAAACCTAGTGGATTAACAAAGGCCTAGAGAGAACATAAAGTCCAAATCTCTTTTAGGACACACATCCAATTTAAAGGTAATTGTGTTGATTTAACCCCCTTCCCGATTTAACCCTTGTCTGGATTTAGTACTGTGTCAAAATCTGAAAGCAGTGGTCTAGTTCCACAGGCAGATAAATGCAGCACAAGAAAAAGGACACAAGGATCTCACTTTTTCAAGTTCCAGGGAAGTTTCCCAAAAGGCAAACTTTGAGCAGTGTAAGATTAAACCATGCAGAGATCCTTGAATAGCACAAACATTTGTTTTTCATTTCTGCTGATCCCAGATTTTTCAATACCAATAATGAAATAAAGGCAGTCCCCGGGTTACGTACAAGATAGGGACTGTAGGTTTGTTCTTAAGTTGAATCTGTATGTAAGTCGGAACTGGCGTCCAGATTCAGCTGCTGTTGAAACTGATCAGCGGCTGATTCCAAGAACCCCGGGGCAGAGCAACTTTGCCTCTGGCTTCCTGTAGTCAGCCACTGGTCAGTTTCAGCAGCGGCTGAATCTGGACTCCAGTTCCGACTTACATACAGATTCAACTTAAGAACAAACCTACAGTCCCTATCTTGTACGTAACCCGGAGACTGCCTTTATTTCATTATTGGTATTGAAAAATCTGGGATCAGCAGAAATGAAAAACAAATGTTTGTGCTATTCAAGGATCTCTGCATGGTTTAATCTTACACTGCTCAAAGTTTGCCTTTTGGGAAACTTCCCTGGAACTTGAAAAAGTGAGATCCTTGTGTCCTTTTTCTTGTGCTGCATTTATCTGCCTGTGGAACTAGACCACTGCTTTCAGATTTTGACACAGTACTAAATCCAGACAAGGGTTAAATCGGGAAGGGGGTTAAATCAACACAATTACCTTTAAATTGGATGTGTGTCCTAAAAGAGATTTGGACTTTATGTTCTCTCTAGGCCTTTGTTAATCCACTAGGTTTTTATTAGTTACTATATTCCTACTATATTGTTTGAGCCTAAATCCATCAGACTCCATGATTCCATTATGTAAGGAAAGAAACTAACCTGTCATTTTGAATGTGATTGTTAGGCTCAGGTTTTGTGATTTGTGACATTCTGACCATAAGCTCCATTTCTCTGCAAACATTTGACCATTTGGCACCTCTCTTGTTTACAAACTTGGCAGTTTTTAGAGGGTAAAGCATTAGAAGAATTGTGTGTCCACTCACACATGTACCTAATCGAAATGATTTCATTATAATTGCAGGTTGACAAGGTCACAGGCAGAGTCAATGGCCAGTTCAAAACTTATGCCATTTGTGGAGCAATTCGTAGGATGGTAAGAATATTCTTAAAAATTAGGAAATGCATTTACTATATTTTAGGTTGGTTGGACTATTTATCCCCATGTGATGAATGCTCAGCCTTGTGATCTTAGTCCAACTCCCAATAGATTAGTGTGCCCATCACAAAAAACATGCCTCTCATCTGGTGGGTCATTTGGCAGACTCTACTGAAAACAAAGACTGTGCACCCCATCCAACTTCTCTTTAAATGGAAAGATATCTTGACTTTAGTAGGAGTTTATACAGGGCCAGGCCATCATGGAGACCGAAACACTGCTATCCACAAGTTGTTTGCTCCAGATCAGGGCTAAGGTACGCTGTCAGGGCAGTGTGAGGATGTCAGTACTGTTGCTTCCTATGTGTTATCCTCACTAAGGATGTTAAATATTGGTTAATTCAATAATTGAGTAACCTCATGAATTCTTATTTATTACTCAAGTATCCTATACTCCCTGGGGGTGGGACCAGCCCACTCCCAAGGAGCCCCCTGCCACTCTGTGCTGCTGCCTCTGTATCAGAAGCAGGAGCACAGGGTGCCAGGCGGGAGCTGGTCCGCAAGGGGAGCCAGTTTAAAAACCCACTCCCCTTGCAAATCTGCCTGATGTCCCGTGCTGCTGCCTCTGATGTAGTTCCAGTGTGAGACGGGCTGCCTGGCTCCTAATACACTTTAAATGCAGAGCTGCAGCAAGGTTAGGTCCTAGACCCGGCAAGAGCAAGGACCAAGCCAGGCTGCTGGCCAGCCTGCTAAAAAATGTACTGGGGGAGGGGGCAGGGCAGGGTGAACGGAGTGTAGTCTATAGCATTAACCTATAAGCTTTTGCTAATCAGTTAATCTACTACACTATTACATCCCTAATCCTCACTCGATAGAGGATTCTGTTTCTATGCCTCTGAATCCAGCACCTTTTCTGAGACCTTAATAAGTTTTAAATGTAAAACAAAAACCTGGCATGTATTCATTCTGTTTACATTTGAGAGGTGAACTTCCTGAACAAATTCTGTTACCAAGCAACATATCCACGTATTCTGATTTTTTTTCTCATTAAAAACATGGGTAATTGAATTATCTGAAAATGGGTAAAGGTAGTGGTTGGAAGGTTTTTTTGTGGCAACCAGTGAACCTAGTGACCAGTTTCTAGAATAGTGTTGGATCCAGCTTTTAAGATTGCTTTAAACCAGCGCTGTGAGGCTTTCTCTATACCAGGGGTGGGGAATCTAAGATACTGGGGCCAGATGTGGCCCGGAACTGGTCCCTGAGGCTTAGGGCCTTTCTCAACATTGCAGAGCCTGCACTGACACTCCAGCCCTCCTGCAGCCCCTGGCTGATTTTTCTGTGGGTCAGCAACCCCTGACCCAAAAAAGGTTCCCCTCCCCTGTTCTACTTTAATCAGGACACTGTGTGTTTGTACTAGGGATGTTAAATATTGAATAATTGACTAAATGAATAGTTAATGTATTTTGCATTGATTAATCAATAGGGCACCTCTGCCTTTGAAGTGTAGCAACAGCCCTAATACTGTTGTTACACTTCAAAAGTGAAAGAGCTGCATGGAGCCCGGGATGGCAGGGGACACTCCTGCTTACCCCAGGCTCCATGTGGCACTGCCACTTACGTACCTCCTCCTCTTTCCTCCCTGATGAGGCGGGGGGGGGGGGGAAGAGGAGGAACTAGTCTACTAGTCCGTTGACTGTCCGACAAGTATCTGCATATCAGATAATTAACTAGTGATAGAGATGAAGCTTGTTAGTCTGGTGTAGCTGAAACAAAAGACAGGACTATGTAGCACTTTAAAGACTAACAAGATGGTTTATTAGGTGATGAGCTTTCATGGGCCAGACCCACTTCCTCAGATCAATATGTGGAAGAAATCTGAGGAAGTGGGTCTGGCCCATGAAAGCTCATCACCTAATAAACCATCTTGTTAGTCTTTAAAGTGCTACATAGTCCTGTCTTTTGTTTCAGCTACACCAGACTAACAAGCTTCATCTCTATCACTAGTTAATTATCTGATATGCAGATACTTGTCGGACAGTCAACGGACTAGTAGACTAGTTCCTCCTCTTCCCCCCCCCCCCCGCCTCATGAGAAAGAGGCAGAAAGGGGGGGGGAAAGAGGGGGAGGCACGGAAG